AAGTAACATTAACAATTACCGACTTGAACATAGAAACGAATGTATCTAAAAATGTTTACCCATAATTTTACAACTCGTGTAACGGTCCTCGAGGAATGAATCTATAATTAGAATGATTAACCTGAGGGTGCCGAAAAACGGCAAGATATCAGACTCTCCTTCGAGCCTCGTGTCTGCTCGAGGAAGTAGACCTAACGTTTTGTTGTGGTGTTATAACTGTTAACTCTTTTTTCGCCGAACATTAAGGCTATGGAAAGAGCTTTATTTTTCGGACGAGAAATAAATTCAACGCCGACATCATCACCACAATGCTCCTCGACGGCAGTGGGTGGTCCTCTCCTTACACCAAGGGTGGGCATAAACATCGGTCGGAGGGCCAAAGTGAATTTTTTATTTAACACCAAGGGCCGCACCCAAACTTTGTTCCAGTGACCTTCCAAAAACTGCTTTTACACCAATTTATTCTCAGTTTTAATTTTACGTTTCAATTATATGATCGGTGTCGGGCCATAAAATCAAGGTGTTTTCTAGCCGCGGGCCGCACACATAGAGTTTTTAATTCATTTTCGCGGGCCGCAAAAAAATCGATGGCGGGCCGCATGCAGAGCCATAGATAGAAAGAGTTGCGACATTGAGAATTTAGAATCCATTTTGTATCATACGCGTTTCTGTGTCTAACGTGATGTGCGTGCGTTCCTGTGTATAATATTGTATAATACAGTTAGCGGCCTCCTGTTATAGTTTAATTCCATTTAATCTTTTTACTTTGCATGTGTTCATCGGGAAGATCATGACACAAAATGAACGGTGTGACTTTCGCAATCCAAGGAGCGGAATGTCGCAACTCTTTATATAGGCCTATGGCTCTGCAATCTGCTCACGTGAGCCTTACACCCTTCTCCTTGTATTGCCATCCATGTGGCTGCTTGCATTACTTTCAGAGAATGTTTGCGTCAGTACCCGACGTGTTCGTACCGAATACTCAGTACGTTCCAAAATTTGCGGGGAAAAAAGGAAAAAAAAAAACTCACATATCGATATTGCAGTAAGGCCTATCCGCTGTAAATGGGGATCGGATTTAACACTAGTCACTAGAGAAACACAAGCTCCAGGGACGGATCCAGAGATGTCCGAAAAGGGGGAGGGGTTGGGCCGATCGAGATAACAATACCCTTTTCTTTTTGTGCCTTCCAAAAGGGGGTGGAGGAAGTTTATCTCGGTTGATATTGGCGCCAGGATCGTCTCTGGAGGTTGTGAGTTCGATTCCCACCCGAATCACTTGCGATTTCGAACGTAGGCTTACCGGTACTGAATATTCGGTATAAACCATAACACGTCAGATAGGGTAAAACATTATGGTATTTTATGTTATATTTCTTATTATTTCAATTCTACTTTGAAGTCCTGCATCTAAAATTCTTTGTGAAAAAAAAAGCTATCATAAAATATGTTGTTCCATAGGCCTACTAAAACCAGACTATGTGTTTATTTTATCTTGAATGCCCAACATAAATATTAAACAGGTTTAACATTTCATGTCTTCCTCGGGGAGGGGGAGCGGGTAGGGTACAAAATCATTCTAATTTTTCTTGAGAGTGAACAAGATATTGTGATAATATCCAGCACATATAGTATTATTATAATTGTTATCATTTCCATATTATGTGGTCGAAACTCAGTTTGCTGAATCCCAGATTGCCGAGTCCATATTAATATTGTCAAAACCCAGTTTGTTTGAATACCGAATTTCCAGCGTCCCAGCAGTCTGTGATCTTTTATTTTCCCATTATTCATAGATGCCTTCCGACACTTAGTCCCACTTTTATCATGTTGATCGAATTATTTTGCTGTTTCATTTGTTCTAACACTTGTTTGTGAATTAATATACATGTTCAGTTCTACACTGTCGCTAAACATAACCATTTCACATTCGTTTGCTTATCAGACTTACTTTATCATCAACACCATCAATCAAATTTCGTTCCTCTCAGTCTCCCCGCGGTGCGCTATCCCCATATAAAATATCTGTACGCCACTGACTTACGCTACCTCTTTGTACTTTTACCCCACGGTAAATATAATGGACATCCGACAAACCATTTTAGCATATTGAAATAAATTCATCTGGTTTCGTAAATATATTGTCGGTAAGTTTCACTAAAGTTTATACCTGGTTTAACGAAAAAAGAAAATTATCATAATATTTTAGCATATTGTGTCAAAATTCGGCAAAGCTGGCTTCGGCAAACTGCGGGTTTCATAGTTTTGTGTCGTCGGTGAAGATACGGCAAAGGGGACTCGAGTCTGGGATTCGGTCAGCAAAGTAGTCGGATATGGATTTGCTCATTCACAGTTTTAACTTGCACAAAGTTTCCATCTCATTACCGTTGAAACAACAAAGTGATTCTCCGTGAAAAACATTTTTTTCTCACGATTTTCCAGATGAGAGAAGTTAAGATACCTTGAATTCATTTTAGCACATCACAGGAAGTTGGGGGTAGGCCTATGAATTAGACGATAGGCTAGAAGTTATACAGTGGAAGTATTTATGCGAACGTTTTTGTTTTTGTTTGTTTGGTATTTTTTTTTTTTTCGAAAAATACTATATAAATTTGGACCCCTTTCCACTAGTTTAGCACTGCCACTGCCAGTTATACCATAACCAGTATTTTTGACTTATCGGGTAGGCCTACGTTTTGTTATACATAGGCCAGAGTTCGAGAAACACTAGTAATTTATGTGGTCAAAAAATGAAACTACCGGTCGGCGCTAGAAGTGGAAAATGCGTTAAGACATAGGCCTAGTCGTATTACGATCTGTTGACCCAAGATGCTTCTGATTTCTCATGCTGAAGACCCTGGTTCAAACAGGGCCAGATTAATTTTCCTCAAACAATCAAAACTAATATCATAAACAGAATTTCGAATTCCGCAGTTGAAAAGCAGGGTGACGTTGTTGGGGGAGGGGGGGCAGTCATATCAATTTGTTTGGTCCAATCACCCTATCTCTTAACAGGGCTTCTTTCACAAACATTGACGGTTTTTACTACAAAAACTAGAGGTCGGATTTTTTCGATACGGTTTATAGAAGGATATAAATATATTGCAAACAATTTACAATTTCTTTTCAAATATTTCGGTTGAATTACGAAAATATAAGCTATATTAGGATGTAAGCTGGCTGATGAGAAGTCGTTCCTTTACAACGTCATAACTTTCCCTACGCTACACTTTTTTTTTCTTATAAGACCCAGTAAAATGTTGCCCAGGCTCGGTGTTCTTATTTTTTGACCGATTTCAGGCTTAAAATGTTCTTATTTTGTTCTTATTTGACACACTTTTCAAACATAATTTTTTCTAGTTGTTTTAAACAAAATGTAATTTGACATTTTACCTCAGCCTCAATTTGTTTTTATTTTGTTCTTAATTTTTAAGCAATTTCAGCCTCAGTGTTCTTATAATTCTTATTTAAAAAAAAGAAAGAAAAAAGAAAGTGTAATCCGATTGCTAGGTTGAAGCGACCACAGAAAGCAAATTTTCTTGTCGGATCAGTTAGCCTATATAAATTAATCGGATTGTATAAGTTTCTTCCATTATTTGATCATTCTTTTGCTTTCCACAAAGAAGAAATACCCAGGCTCACAGCCAGCCTAGGGAATTGGCGCGTTCCATTTTCTGAAATGAAGAAATAATATCTATGGTACATTATTATGCTGTATCAAAGACTAAAATTCATTAAATGAACGTGCTTGATAGTGGACATAGGCGGCCTATCTTTGTACAGATATGCATGAGATTGGGAATGTATTTTTAATGTTCACATGACTGATTGTTTAAATAGGTGTATTTTATATACACTTTTTGGAAGGGCATATACAAAAAATTGTTAGATTTATTACCCTTTAAAAAAAGTGATGAGGGTGGGCAGGTTTATTTTTTGTTTTTTTTTAATCAGAACGATAGAATATTGTTTTTTTTTATTTTTTTATTATTGATGAGGGAGGGACTGTTTATATTTGGCAAGAATATTGTAAATATTGTATATAAACTGGTTTAATTTGGTTGTTTTTTAAAGAAAATGTATTTCCAGTCACGTTTTTTTAAGCTGTTGAAATAAATGATGCAGCAAAAACATTTTTTTTTTATTGCGGCCATCCATCATTATTACCCCGGAATTGTTGACGTGGGAGGGAGTATGATTATCTTCTAGATTGCTGAAATGTCAAAAAATCTAAATTTAATTATGATTTTCCGCTTCTTTTTTTCTCCATGGGGCGGCTCGCCCTCCCCGCCCCCGCCGCCACTTTGAATCCGCCAGTACTGTATTCTGTTGCTGATTTTGATTTATTGCACTGGTCACGTGGACGGCAGCCGACAAGACAAAAATGTCAATCGCGCGCGTGTGTGTGTGTGTGTGTGTGTGTGGGCGCCGGGGAGCGATTTTTTTCCCGTACGAAACATTTGCATGAAACTTCACTCGGGCCAACTCGGATTGACACGAGTGAGTACGATACGAGGAACAAGAGCAGACACTTCGCAATGTCGTGACGCTCGAGTTTTACTATTATATTTACTATATTATTATTATCTTTCTATGTTTACC